GATATCAATATTGTACGATAATGAAGATAATGAAAATATCGGTCAAATAAAATCAGCATGATCCTATAGGGCCGTGCGATAATCTGTTATAAAAATTACTTATTATACTATTATTATAATATTAGTAATTATTTAAAATGCAAAACCAAATTAAACCAAATTCATGATTTATGTAATAGTTCTGTTTATCCAATTATGATTACTAAAAAGTGGTTGTTTAAAAATCACGAGAAGGCAGTAAAAAAAATTGATGACTTTCTTATACCTACATATGATATGATTCATTTATTTAGGATACAAGTTTTTTAAAAAATAAAGATGAACAATTCGAATATTTCATCTCGCAAAATACCGTATTAATTGAAGGCTAATAAAATGAAATGAAATTACGCACCTATTCGTAAATATAAAAAAGCCTTTCATCTAATAAAATTTATATAGTAAAATTAATTTTTTATGAATATAAACAATTCGTTATAATCTTTTTCGATAAATTAAATACAGATTTATACTCATAATAAAAATTTAACATACTTGTTTTAATTCTCATAATCATCTATTAGCGATATATTTATTATGATATTGGATTATTTTATTCCGAAGAACTGAAAAAATTTATGTACTTCAGAAACTTATTTTTACAATCGAGAATTATATTTAAAACATAATCAATTAAAGTAATACGCGGCGTACCATTATAATAATTTTTAAATTTTATTTATGAAAATTAATCAAGTAAATTGAATAATTATTATCTAACGCCATCACAATTTATTAATTTTTTCCCAGCTCCGTGTATTTCTAAAAATATTTTTGTTTCTTTGTCACTATTTCCCTCATGGTATAGGTCTGGGTTGAGACTGTGGATTCCAAGCAATGTGAACAGCCAAGTCTGGAAGAGCTTGGGTAAGGCAAAAATTCTGCTTTGGTAGAAGAAAATGTGCGATAGAAGCTTTGAAAGTGATATGCCCATTTTTGTTGTATTGTCTTTGTTACAAAGTAAAGAGCCGTCAGTGTATATGTTCAGTAATGATTGAGATTGAATAGCAGAACAAATATAGAGTACTAGGTCATTCTTCAACGAGGTTGACGTATCGAGGAGAGAATGAATAAGTGTATAATTAATAGTGAATGAGTTTATTTTATTTTATTACTAGAAGAGTAGTATAACCAAAACTATTACAAATAAAAGCAAAACAACATTCACATGATTGATAACTAAATACGTGTATAGAATTTTGGAAATTCATCCCCTACGGGACCTCACCCTTGGATGAGTGGAAGTAGTCATTTTTTGGTGATCGACTGATCGTTAAATTACATCACGTGACTTTACGTAATGTGCATATAAAAAACAGGTTTTTGGAAAAAAAGGTTTTCTTTTCTTTCAGAAGGGTTATGCTTTTTCATTTCAGAAAGTTATGTCTTCATTTCTTTCAGTATATTATATTCTTTTATGTTTTTCGCCATAGTGGTGAGTTTATGTTACTGATAGCGGTTAGTATAACACTATAATTATATCTTGTATAATGTAATGCTTAATCAAAAAGTTCGTCGATTTACAAAAAATTGAGCGTAATAATAATCAGTTTATTTTATTTACCAGATAGTAAAGCAACAGAACTATATAATAAAAGGGGCCTTGTTGGAACATGGACATTTGCGCGCATGCTCCTGATAGCGGTTGGTATCAATCTTGGTGTACTATAAAGTGGTGCAGGAGTGTAAAATTCGTCGATAACAAAAAATTGGGCGTAATAATAATCAGTTTATTTTACTTACCAGATAGTAAGGCGTCAGAATTATATATTGGAAGGGATCTTATTGGATCATGGACGTTTGCGCGAATGCTCCTGACAGCGGTTGGTATCGATCTTGGTGTGTAAAGTAGCGCAGGAGTGTAAAAATTCGTCGATTACATAAAATTGGGCGTAATAATAATCATTTTTATTTATTTATCAGATTGAAAGGCGTCAGGATTATATATCTTAAGGGGTATTGTTGGTCATGGACGTTTGCGCGCTTCTGACAGCGATCTTAGTATATATTCAGGTGCGAAAAATTCGTTGATACATAAAATTGTGTTTAATCAGTTTTTTTAGATAGAAAAGCGTCAAGAAAAGGTCTTGTTGGGTCATGGACATTTGCGCGCAGGCCCTTGATAGCGGTTTGTATCGAACTATCGAACTTGGGTGTATAAAGTAGCGCAAAAACGTCGATTACGGTACGGAAAAGTCTGTCTAACAATAATCAGTCTTTTTTGTTAACTAGATATAAAAATGTCATGATTATATAACGGAAGAACTCTTGATGGTAAAGATATTGGTTCTTTATATAATCATATTAGCTTTTATATAGGCAAATTTTAGATTTATATATTTTTTACTACTTTGACAATAGTTCACCTTTCAGTTTTTTTTCTGTAAAAAAAAAAATTTATTGAAGGTCGGCCATATTGATCAATAGTCTGTTCTTGTTGAAGCTTGTTGAAATAGAGATTAACAAACTTCTTTTATGATAGAAATTATTAAGAATGTTTATGAAATGTTTCTATAAAGTTTTGAGAATAATTTCTTATTCTTCTTAGTAACATTAATTTTTTTGATTTATTATTTTTTTTTTTTTTATTAATAGTCATAAAATTGTGTTGCAGTGTATTAATCTTTTTACAAGAGAAATTATAGGATTTCATAATTCAAATCATTAAAAAAATTTAAGACTTAGAATTATCATCCAAAAAAGAGTTCGGGCATAGATAGATATATAGTAGGTATAATTACTGTAATTCATTTAATGACATTTTAAATATCGAATCTAAATTTATTATATTATTAAAATTATTAAAATAATTCGCAGCTCTCGTTAAGATTTATTACTTTATTTAAAAAATATTCAGAACTTTCTGATAGAATGCTTCTTTCAAACAAAATAACACGACTTCTAATGCAATAAATAGTCTGCTCACGTGAAAACCAATTTATCGAAATTAGCGTTTCATTAATATAATTGAAAATTTTAGAACGTTGTATCTAGCGACCCTGTGATACGATTTCGAAATTTAAGTCGTGATTCGAAATCTCCTTCTTGAAAATATCACTTGAGATGAGTCATCTTTAATAGCAGTAAAGACATATCAATTTGAATTTTTCGAAAAAATAACTTAATAAATTTAACAGAAAAAAAATCAATCGCTCATATCCTTGGCTCTATTAAAGATGAAAACTTCTAACTCATCTCATGTGATACAACCAGGAAAGAAGTGTCGAATCAAAGTATAAATCTGATATTGAATCACAGGTTCGCAGGATATTATATCGTTCTAAAGTTTTTCTATATAAATACTACTGTATTAAATAAACACTAATTAGTTTCGGCAAATGGCTTTCACGTAATTAATTAATTATCTGATAACGAAACTGAAATTTTTTTTTTTTTTTAATAATTTTACCCAAATTGCAATAATTACTTTCGGATGTATCCTATTTACTATTAATTATTTTTTTAACATTACATTGGTCACAAATTTCTTCATTTTATATTTTCTGAAAATAAATAAGACCAATGATTTTATAAGCGATAATAAATAATGCTGTATTCATTTGAAAGTAAAAATAATTTATTATTTTATTAAAAACATTTGACCTCTTATTATTAAACGACTCGATGCTATAAGTTATTGTTTAATTAGACATGTACTGTTAAAAAAAACGTGTATATACTGTATAAACGGATCATAAAATCCATTGGAATTAGCGAATTTTCTTGATAAAAATATAAAATTATTATGAACATAAACTTAAAACGCGCGTTATAAATCTTGTCATTTATATATGTAAAAATTTATCATACATTTCGAGAATACTATAAATTTAATTCGAAAATTTAACGTCTGAATTATTATTATCCCCGTTTTCAAGATTAAAGATCACGCGACAAAATGTGCACAGCACAAAAATTGGTTTCCACTATTTAATACAACTCACATGACACAGCTCTACTTTCTATTTAAATTGTCCAGTTACACACGAATATAACCGACTTAGACTAAATAAAATATAATTACATTATTTCAAGTATATAAGAGTTAAATTTCGTCATATTTAAATCATAAAAATAAAATTATTTGTAATAAAATTATTATAAAATATACATTCTTTTATTTTTGTATTTCGTTTTTTGTTTTTTAAAATATTTTTTCATTAAAAATGGATCATAGTCTTCTTCATGCGATGAATATATTTCTGGCTCAAGAATTAGAAGACGAGGCAGATTTATCTATTTTCGTGCTCAACAATTGTTTTAAGATCTTTAATATACTTATTTATTTTTCTTAAGAATGGTTCTTAATTATATTAAAATGATACCAAAGAACGCATCGAATCAATCCCCATCTCGTCCCTTACACATTTCATCCGAGAACAATTTCAGAAGAGAAAAAATATTTAATTCTTCAAGTTATTTTACAATTCGATTCGGAAAGGTGTAAAATTCGGAAGGTGTAAAGAGTTATACTGTTATGGGGTTGTTTTTCCGTCACCACAAATACCACTACCACAACAAACATCATCATCACCACAACTATGTCCACGATCACCACAACCACTTCCATCTCAATCACCCACGATCACAACTATAGCTCGCGTGGATTCTTTGCTATTGATATGCATAATCAAATTAATATTTTAAGAAATTAACTAAATAGTATAGAAAGTACCGGGAAGAATGATTATAGAATAAATAATTTAACCTCAATATACATCGGGAGAGCGCACACATGATCGACTGTTTACATTTGTTATCTCATTTAAAACCACTAATCTAGTTATAATCTGCATGGAAAAGCGGATTATATAACACTGATTAACTTTTTTTACATTAGATCGAATACAATCGACCCATTTCAGTATACGATCATCATAATTTGGTAAATGAATTGAAAAAACTTTATTTAAACAGAATTTTTTGCATATTTTTTTTTCTCATTCGAGCACTCGAGCACAATGACAACAATTTTTAATCGTAAAAAAAATGAGGGACAATCAACAAATTCAGTTATGGACATGCAATCCTCATCTCAAGATGATACCAGTGAAAGTACATCAAAGTCAAAAGAAAATCTTTTAAAACCAAGTATAATAATGAAAGGATTATCTGATATTGCTCAAAATTTTGATAATTTTGCACCCGTTATTAGTAAAATTTGTAAATTAGGAGAACAAGTTATAGAATTATATGAAAAAGCTCAACATAATAAAAAATTATGTGGTTTACTTTTAAAAAGATGTAATTGTGCAGTTGCTTCAGTAAAAGATCTGGATATAAGAAGAACCGAATATAAAGAATTTTTTTTTAAAAAAGGAAATTTAGAATTGTTAATAGCTTTTAGTAAGTGTATAGAAAAAAGTAAAGAATTTATTTCACGTGTTAGTAAAATACATAAACTTATGAAATATTTACTCGCTGGTAGCATTGAAGATGATCTTAAAGAACTTGTGAATGAATTTGATGGATATATGTTGAGTTTAAATTTTTCTTTTACTATTCAAACTAGAGATGATTCAATAATAATAAAAGATTACGTGATTCAAATTCATGAATTATTATCAAATGTTTATAACATCCCTAATGATAAACAAAAACAACAAAATTTTTATAGCGAAGTGGATTTAGTAATTAGGGAACACAGGAAATTTCTAATTCAGAACGAAAAACCAAATTCAGATGAACTTATAACAATCGTAGAAGAAAATGAACCGTTACTTAATGGTAACGATTACCAAAAAACTGATCATCATTCTTCAGAAAAAATTGAAAAACGTATATCATTCAAAGATTCTACTGATGTTTCATTTAAAGAATTTTCAAATATTTCTTCTTCCAATAATGTTGATACTCAAATTGAAGTAAGAAGGCAAGTTAACATTCTTAAGATATTAAAAAATTCGGATCATATTATAAGATTTTTTGGTGTCGCTCAAGAAAATTCCAAATTTTACTTGGTTACTGAATGGATGGATTATGGAAATTTATATGAATACTATACAAAGTTTAGAGATAATATGAATTGGAGAACCAAAATTAGATTTTCTTTGGATATTTGTCGTGGAGTTATGTACCTTCATGATTGCGAGGTTAGTACAATTAAATTTAGTTTTTTTTTTAAAAAAAAAAATTGAAGTTTATTAAAATAATTTCTTTTCCAAAAAAAAAAAAATTAATTAGATCCTTCATCATGACATTCGATCAGCAAATATTTTAGTAAACAAAGATCGCAAAGTTAGAATAGCAAATTTTGGTTTAAGCAGAAAATTTTCTGATGCTACTAGGAGTGTTGCACAAGATTCAGAAAATGTAAGATATATGGCTCCAGAAAAATTATTATTAAGTAAAAATGAGAAAAGAAAGTATGATTCTAAATGTGAAATTTACAGGTAAATAGATTTTTATATGATGTCTGTTTATTTTTTTGTTTTACTTACGTCATGTTATTTATTTATAACATTAATAGCGTTGGAATGTTATTGCGGGAAATTGCTGAATTGAAAAAACCTCATTCTGTTCTTGATAAATTAGAACTACATGATATTGTTATTGGTATTAGAAAGCGTATTCAAGATAAACATTATGAACCATTTTCGGATGATGTACCTCTTGATTGGCAACTTACAGTATCTAAAGGTGAATGTTAATATATTAAAATAAAATTTTTTTATCATCAGATTTTTAACCTCTTTCTCATTTTTAGCCATTGATTATGAACCAAGATGGCGTCCTAATATGTCTGATATTTGTCGTGATTTTTATAAATTAAGTGAAAATTATTCAAAGTCTAAACCTTCTTTGATTAACATTAGTATTCTTCCTGTCAATGATGCAATTAAAGAACACAAGTTAAATAATGGAGATAAACAACTAGCATGGAATAGTTTCAAATTTTATTCAATAATCAATGCTGAAGCAAAATATTGGGTAGGATATTATCTTTTTCATCATGGTAAAGATATTCCCGAATTACGATCACTTAATGAGGAAGAAAGAATTAAAATTGCTATCGATATATTTAAGGAAACTGCTGACAAAGGAAATCCTTCTGCTCAATTAAGATATGGAATGCATTTGTGGAAAAATGAAAGTTATATCGAGGCTTTAAAATATTTAGAAATGTCAGCTAGTGCAGAAGATGCTAATGCTATGTATATTGTTGGAAAAGCTTATTGGAAAGGTGGTAATGGTATTGAGCAAGATAAAGAGAAAGGTTCCAAATACTTAAAACATGCTGCTTTGAAAGATAATGCTAAAGCTAGAGAAATGTGTATCGAAAATAATATAAGTTATTTACAAGTGTAATCAAATTACGTCATATCATCATGCATTAGCAGCATTAGCAGCATTAGTATTGGATATATATATATATATATAGCTGATCCATTAGCATTACTAGCTATTGAGATTGTGAATAACACAATCAATGAAATAATTTAGCAATAACTTAAGGATAGGATAGAATTATAAATATCACCCAAGTCGAAGGGATTGTTTCGACAGAATCATCAGTTCACTTCAATATAAAATAAAATCGGGTTAGCGAAATAGAAAACTCTTACCAATTTTTAAAAATAACTCACGAATCTTTTTTAATAAATTAATAAATTAAAAGGTGAATTAAATTGATCACTTAACTTCTTTTAAATAAATTCTTTGATTTAATAGTAATAGCTAGGAGAGGTGTGGCGCCAGTATTCAATTTCGCGTGTCTCGACCTATCTTATAAATGCTACTAATGCTGTTGATATTACTGTTCAAAGCGTCTTTATTTACTCAGCCAAAGTAAACCAGGTTCTACGCGGCGAAATTGTTGAATTTTGAATTTTATACGCACTTATCTGCGTTTACATAAAGGCCTCTCCTATTACTATTACTTTGGCTGAATAAATAAAGGCGTTTCGACCAGTAATATCAACAACATCAATAGCATCAGTAGCATTTGTGAGATAGGTCAAAACTCGAAATACGTGTAATTGAACGCTGGCGTTTTTTTTATGATAACAACGAATTGTAGTGAATTGGTCTAAATTCATGTGATAATAAATAACAGCCGATAAAATTATAATTGTGGACGTCAGTCATAACACAAGCACTAAATTGATAAAGTCGTTGAGAAGTGTGAAAAAAAAAAACTAAACGCTCGCACACAACAAAGTATGGAATGCTTTCTGGTTGCGTTAAATGAAATTATTATAAATTAAATGTTTATTATTTGAATATATATTTTGTCGCCCGGTATAAAATATAGTAGAATATTGATAAAAAATATACAAGATAACCGAAAAAATTATATCTGTAAAATATCTTAATAAATATATACATAAAAGAAGTTTCTGCATTGATAAATAAATAAATTTCTGCATTTTTAAGCAATTAAACAAAAATAAAGTCTATGACAGTCATTTTTTCGACATGACTAGGGTACTAAGTGTCACTAAAAGTCTTTTTAAAGTCAGTTTGATCATTATTTATATTATTTTATTCTTGAACTAATCTTTTACGAATTAAACGTTTGTTGTTTCTACTAGCCGGTCTAGCGAAAACTTGAGTCCAATATTTTCCACCGCCAAATCCAACTCCAAAGTCAATGAAGTTCTTATTAAGAATATTTTCTCGATGTAAGTTAGATCCCATAAATCTGTTTTAGGTTAAAATGCGATTAAAATTTAGATATAAATTAATATGTCATCAACGTTTATAATACTTACATTTGCATGACACGTGCTTCTTCATTCGTACCTAATCCTTCAGCGATATTTTCTCCGACACTAATATGGCTATAACCTTCTGCTTTAACACGTACTCCTATTGAACCACGAGGATCATCGTGGGTAAATTTATTAGTTTTAACCATGTAGTCAGTATGCTTTTGAGCTGCCGACATCAATTTACTATAAGAAAAAAATAAATTAATCTTCGTGAAATTTCTTAATACGACGTGCTAAGATATTTACTTGTTTAAATAAAGTGGAGAAACTCCAACTTTTTTACGTTCATCGTTGACCAATTTAAGCATAAGTTTTGGGTTAAAGGCAGTAACCAACGTAGTAGTAGTTAAAATAAAGAAAACAAAAATTAATTTGATCGCTACCATTTTTTAGAGTTTGTAATTTATTCTGATATTTAAAAAATTTATAGCTTTCAATTTTGTAAAAATTTTCGTAGATTTTATATATTGTTGACATGCACATATCAGCTAACTCTTTGAGGTCAAATTTTGTCGAAAATTTTCGTAACTTATTATAAATTGATGGCATGAATACATCAGCTAACTTTTATAACCAATTTTAGTTGAAAATTTTCGTGGCTTTTTATATATTGATGGCATGATAACTCATTGTAACCAAAGTTGATAAGTTTAACAATATTTAAGTACGAAAAATTCATTAAAACATTCCTTAGAAATTTATTAATCTAAAAGAAAGTTCGAATTTTATTAATTTTATTGTAAAAATTTAATCGTAAGTTATTAATTTGTTTGTTAAATGATTAATTAAATAAAAGAGTATTATTTTAGATTGTTATATAAATAGAACAAGTAATAGGGGAGATAATACACTGAAATATGTATAAAAAGTTTATTTTTTTTAGGGATTTTCATGATTTCTTTTTTTTTTTTGGCTGGTTTGTATGATATGTATATTTCTGGGAATGTGTTTAGCCGATCGGTTCCTACCTGCATTAATCTGATAAATTTGTTTTCCGAATTAAGGTAAAATCAATGAGAAATAAATATTTTTATATTTCTATATTTAATCCACTTAATTTTAGACTGCCAGAAGTTTCTCTGACATACATGATCACCTAAAAGTTAACCAATTAATGAGCTTAGGAACAATTCAATTTCAATGAGTACCATAAAATGACTAATTAAATCATTTTACGATTGTTATGAGGACCCACAAATATATATATATAAGGGTCAGGTGGCGAAAAATTTTTTTACTATGAGCTGTGCGCAGAGACTTTTTATATGGGTAGTACGCATATTAATTGACACCTGATATTGAAAATCCTGCAAAAATACGCAAATAAAATTTCAGAACATTAAATTATAAATTATTTTATCATGACTTTTATATTATTACAAAACCAAATACTAATGTGAAAAAATAGAATTTATTTTAATTTACCATCTTTTCAATAATATTTTTCTAAAATTTCACTTTTTAACCCTTAGAAATTTCTTTCAATTAATACTAAATATGTATTACAATGCGGGTAACGTACAGTAAATATATTATATATATATAAGATTAGTCCAAAAATACGCAAATTAATTTTTTACAAATACGCAATCTTGATGACCTAACTATGGATGAAAAATTCTTAAATTGTACGCAAATCAGTCTAATTCTACTATGATGGCGACGCATCTGTGTACCCTACCCCTGTATGTAAATTTCTGGGTCCTATGTTACGCCATAATGGGTGGGAATAATTTTTTTTTTTTTTTTTACAATGACAAACGCATATTTATTGATTAAAAAGGGCCCATGTTAGTATTTCGCGCACTAGTACAAACATAGGCAGTAGAATAACCTCAATATACCCATTGAAAATAAAGCAATCTAAAACTGCTCATTCTCTCCATGTGAAGGCCACTACCGTCCCCGATCAACACCTTTAACCCCTACACCAACCTATCTATAAACTATCTACATACATGGGCATATCTCATTATTCTACATTAGCAAAGAAAAAAAAAAAAAAAACCTAATCTACTTTTTGTTTTGACCCTTTTTCTTCTTTTTACGGCCCATCCTGCTTCCAGGCTTCCCGGCCCAGGGTTAATGGGTGGGAATAATTAAACCGTATTGTCCGTAGTCTTCTTTATATAGTTTCATGTCGAATTTAATATGATAACAGAAAAGTTTGTCTAGCGTAAATATTATATTAAAAACCTTTAGAAATTAATAATTTGTTTACTCTTTCTTCTATCTTTACTTGAATACATCCTGGGCCAATGGCCAAATACTATATTCATTACTACTAGTTATATCTAGGATAACGCGACAGGTTAGAAAATGAAAATTAACATGTAAATACAGTAAATATAATCCAAATATTATCATTAAAGTGATTATAATAAAGCCGCTTGGTGAGAATTAAAAAAGAACGATAGATATTATTATGAACCGTTGATATCATTCAAAAATTGTTATAGAAATTTCTTAAAGAAATAAATGTTATAAATTTATAAAATTCCAATAAACAATTATTATACAAATCTATTGGTTAAAATTCGGATGTATTTGCTCCTCTGTTAATTAAAATTGTCAATAGTAACGACGATATTGCACAGTTTCTATCTTGTTAGGCCTTTTACGGAAATCTTGTAACAAAATTTATTTTTATTTAGCGCGGAATCAAAAAAAAAAAAAATAGCTATTACAGAAAATTTACATATTAATTCTATAAATTTGGCATGGTGGTTACATCGCCAACGTTTATTAAATAAGACGAAAGCTGCGGGATGTCCGCAGCTAAAATTATGGGCGCAGGGAATATATAAACCTAGATAAATTCGGTATGAAAATTTGATATGGATGATGTTGCGACGTAGCCGCGTATTTCGATCGCGGACCGCGGCGATTTTAGTTAAAAGGAGTTGATGTAAGCGAGGGAATTTTGGAATTAGTGATTGGGGAAAATACGTAAGTTAGGTAATTACTAATTACGTATCGAATGTTAGGTACTCTTTTCAGTGTGTCCCCACTGTGGTTAAGTAACTGTGCATACTTAATCACGTGATATTTTTAATACTAAAGCACTACCCGTCAAATTATCCGGTCGAAAACGTAGTAAAAATTCTTGTCGAGAGAAATACTGTAAGGCTGTCTAAGACTCATCAAAATCAGACTCATTAATCAAATATCATAATATCATGAATAATAATCTTCAAATTTTTCTTTTTCAAAAAAGATTTCTTTTCAAACCATACTATTTTAATTTATAAAAACAAATACTGATAAATCGTGAACAACAAAAAAATAACGAGTTCAGCTGAGACCTTAAATTTGTGGCCTTTAAAATCGTTGTTATTTTTTTTCTTTACATTCTTTCCAGGTTGACAAATATGCACCATTGAAAGAAGTGAGTTGGTCATGTAAATTATTCTTTTTTTCTCAAAAGACATTAATTCTTTCGTAGAAATTTCTTTAATAAACTTTCGTATTGGAGTATTACCTCCTTGTATATTTAAATTAATGATTGGAAAGAAATTGAAGTTTAACTTACTTATTAATTGCAAGCATTTGATAAGTTTGTATCGGTGGTGTAATAAAGGGTTAACGTCATTAGGCAAAGATGGGTGCCAAGTTTCATGTTAAAGCCATTGATTTCGATGAGCGATGATGTATAAAATTAGTACATTAATGATATTAAATTGAGCTTTAATTTGTTTATGAAAAAGATTATTAATATAAAAAAAAAGGAATTAAAAATAATGTTGTCTGGAGTATGCAAACACAATTTATATAATCGTTTTTTCCTTGTGGAAATTGAGAAATTTAGGGTTTATTTAAACGGGAGCCATGATCGTTTGGGTTTGTTTGTAGATAAGAATGATATGTTGCATGACGCATTCTAGTTTAGGTGTATTATCAAATAATGAGAGTACATGCATTAATTTAAACGCCTAAAACTTTTTCCGCATCAAGAATTGTTGAAAGTTTAGATTTGTTATATTTTTGCAGGATTAATTCATTAATAATTTGTAACATATTTTCATGACATATAGGAAAAATTCTCCCGAAAGAATTGGGCCATGTGACGTAATATCTACTTTTCGCACATACGCAATTTTTACAACAAAACCGAAACGGTATAATTTCTTCAAGTATGTTAGAATAGAAAGTTATTGGACGAAAAAAATAGTATAAACCATCATACAGTATATTATGGGATAGAACCGATTTGTATTTATTTAAAAATTGGCTACGCTTTTGTATTGATTTAATGCTAACCGCAGTTAATTTTCTATTAATAAACCGTTCCCGAAAGTTCTAACATCTAATTTATCACACAGCTTTTCATAAATTAATGATTTGCTCCGATCATAATGCTAGAATGGAACGAAAATGGAAATTTGGAAGTGGTAGCCAAAGACACGTGAATCAATTTAAATATTCCATTTTTGGTGATTTATCATATTAAAGATCTCGGACCTACTGCGAATCAGGTGGCCCCTGATTTTTTCGTCTTGTGCAAATATAAGCAAGAATAATAAAATTTCAAAACCTACCATTATTTGCATCATTGATATTTACAATCAAACAAACTTGTATATTCCGCAAAGTAATAATAAGGTAAGTGATTTGTTGTTTGGTTAGCTTCTTGAAGTATGTCATCACTGTTAATCGATTTCCCGCCTCCTATAGATGTTCTAAAGTACAATAGACAAAAGTAAATTCCCGTGATAAACTTCACGTGAATCATCAGCGCAGTACAAATGGCCGTAAAATTTATGTGCCAAATCCTTAATATTGTAATACCTAAGCCCGTAATAAATTACGTTGCTTAAACAAAATAATATTTTATTAATAATATAAATAAATACAATAATATGCTTGGTTTAACAGTACTAAATATATCCTAAATCTAAAAATACTTTCTACAAGAAACATCCTGTCGCCTCTTATGTCTATTGAGATCAAAATCTGAAAATTTTAGATTTTCCACATCTTATGCTCAATCGAACTGCACACTTCAGTACTTACCATTTTTCATGTTTTTTGAAATTTTGGATTTTTCCTTCGTTTTTGATCAAATCTCCTAAAAATAATTATCCTAATTATAGTTCTTTTTCAAAATGAATTACAAATTCAAATAACATGCTTTCTAGTTTAACGTCATCTGACGTTATATTTGTAACGTCATACAATTTTAAAATACTAAAAATTTACACTAATTTTAAATATAATACTGCGCCTCATAATTAATAAATTTACTATCATAGGTATATTACGGCATTACAATATTTATCGCAAAAATCGTACTTGTGATTACGGATTTGATATTATGAAATTAAGTATAGCGGTAAGTTTGAATCAGAAATATTGCATTACTTATTTTATTATCTCATTGCTAATCTCCCTGGTTTATTCTGTAGATTCGAAATTACTTAATCTCTCATGCTGAACTTGGCTAAAATAGAAACTTTTTATATTGAACTGTGCGGATGAGAAATGTTGTTAGTTAAATAACAATAGTAACAGAAATAAATTAGTTACAGATATTTTCCGTAAATTTGAGAAAGAAAAGAAATAGCTTGATGCTGAGACTCGTATTTAATGGCCTAGGTCACCACCCTCTTCGATAGCATCATATTATTTTATATATTTTATATCATTTTTTTATGAAACTATTAATTAAGTTTGCACATATCAGGCTAGTCAATAGTCGTAAAAAAAGGTGTGACTAGGCGCAGATCACTATATCACGGGAAATCACTGGATTTGTCTCATCAATTAAAAAATCGAACAAGAGCACAATGAAAGCATTAGGAAGGTAAAGCGGGGAGAGATCATCATCAATCTCTAGTTCTGAAGTAACAACAAGTATACGATCAAGTTCCTCTTTAGAGAGACCTGAACGATTACTCAAGGAAATACCTATTGAGCGATCACCCATCATTTAAAACCATCACTCTGGAGATTTTCCTGTTACATCAAGACATCTGTCAAAACACCTGTGATCTCTAGGCTTGTAACACCTGCTCTCCCCTCTTTTTCATGAAGTGCGAATGTTATTAGTGTCACTATTAATAATAATTACGTTGACGCTTCAGATGAGCAAGAGGATTAGGATGTTTTTATTAATGAAGGAATAGCTTAGCAAATTTTAGACAATTTATTATTTTTTTATGGCTGTAAGTTCGTATAATATAAGCACAGCATATTAGAAAAAGCAAATGTAATATTCATTAATGTCAGTTGTATAATAAAAAATAAATCTTCTCGTAGTAGACAAAGTCTATCGGCTTTCCATTAGGCGTACACAAGTTAAAAAAGGAGAAAGACCCGATATGGGCAAAACTTTATTTTTATTTTTATGATAAGCGTATAAGTAGTACATAATTCATTGGCAGACAAAATAACCGAAAGAAAAAGAATCATCAACTATTTATTTTTGTATCGAGATTTTTTTTAAATAATATGAAACCAGTTTTTAAAAAAAGTTCGGTAAGTCGAAAGTTCAATATATCATGGGTTCGTTACATCGAGGTAAGACTGTATAGTTTTTTATTAAAGTATAGGTTTTATTAATATACCAAATAATTTTTTTTCTCGTTTATAGTAGAACAAGAAGGTAAAAGAACTTGCAACTTTCAAGTATATTTTTTATGTAAACATTTAATCTTCTAAATGCTTATTTTAATAGAATATCATAGTAGGCCATATGATTTATTAATTATTAATCATTATTAATTTATTTAATTTCAATGTTCCTTTCTTTTAGTTATTCGATATAGCAACACTTCAAAGAGCAGTATTTTAACGAGCAACACTTCAAAAAACAATACTTCCAAAAACAGTGCCTCAAATAGTAAAAGTAGTGGCACTTTACATTTTTCTAAAGGTTTTAAATTATATTATTTTTAAACAATAAATGAATATTATCTAATAATTTTACAAGCCTTTTTTTTTTTAATTTCCAGAGTATTCGGAACATTTAAGATCTCGCATCCCTGTATAATGCTTATTGGATTAATTGAGATTTTTTTTTTTAGATATTATGAACACAAACATTTTAGTAATGTTCAGAGAATTTGTGCTGGAAGATTCGAAGAAATCTATCGTGCAAATTGGAAAAATTCAGAACAATATTTAATTTTGAAATCCTTCTTTAATATTGATAATATTACTAATAATTGTTCATGAGAATAATGAGATATAAATTATGAAATAAATATACTGTATACACTAATCATTAAATTTATATTTCAATGTAATATACAATTTCTAACTTCAATTTCATACTTTACTTGGAACGGTAAATACAACTTTCATATCAATTGAATTTGTGACATGCCATGTTTATATAATGAAAGAATTATTACTTTATTTAAACTACAAAGTAATTATCACAGAGTTTTTAGCGTGTATTATTTTTTAATAGCAATCTAGTATTTGCTTATCAAATTGTCTGACAAAAAAATTGAATTATAATAAATATAGAATAATTTCCTTATGTTGGACGAAAATCATTAGCGATTAGTCAGATTGGAATAGAACAGAAATAAATTGAAGTTCGAATTTCCTTTTATAGTATAATTTTGGCTGGAATTAATGATTTTTTTGACTATATATATTAAGTAAGCTTATTAGAATTACTCGAATATACTCGAACGGATAATTATTTCATGATTTAAAACAACTATTTCTAATACCTTAGGACTATATTAAAATTTTATCTGGTATATAAAGTATACACTTTTCAATTAAAAAAATATTTAGTTGACTTTTATTAGTTATAATCATTATAATAATCGCGATTTTTTAGGAACATTGGAATACTGTGGATGTGGCTTTGGAAATATCCGTAATGTCCGTTAAATACCCGTTAAATGACGTAATTACTAACAAAAACAGTAGGGATTTACCTTATTTCCGCCGCTGTGTGCCGATGAGGTGATTGAGGCGTCATTAGTAATAGATTGAAACAATAGACTTACACCTGTCGTCGTTATACGCCGATGACAAATATAGTGTATAATTAACTATAAGTGTATTAAATGTCCAAATTATTAATGCATTTAATAGGGAGGCGTCAATTATAATACGCGTATAAGCATATTACATTTCTAAAATTATTGATCATTGAAACAATAAATCGGTCAATAGCAGAGGTTACCGTCATACGCCGAAGAGGCGTCAGTTATAAATATGCAGTCAATCTGTTAATGAGCATATTAAATGTCTAAAATTTTTGATCATTTAACATAGCGAAACAGTAGATCGGTCAATAATTAAATGTCTAAAATTATTGATGCATTTAACAAAGCGTATATTTTAACAGATTACAATATTCATAAAAATCTTGACGAAAGATACGAATTTAGGAAAAAAACCATAAGTGAAGATGAATCTCTTAATCCAGATGAAAAAAAAGAGGCAATAAGAATATTAAGTAAACGTTATGACTATGATAAAATTATATCTAATGAAGGAATAAAAAGAATTTGTGATAACTGTAAAAAAGAACGTTTAGCGCTTTCATATTGTGAGCATTGCGTTCGGAATTATTTAAAAAAAAAATTTTCTGATTGGACATCAAATAACAATAAAATTGATAATTTGATAAAGAAATGTCAGATGCAAACCATTGGTCCAAATAAAATAATTGAGTGGATTCCATACAGTGATTTTCAGGATATTAAATATTTCACTAAAGGAGGATTCTCTAATATATATTTAGCAAAATGGATTAATGGACATTTTATAGAATGGAACTCTGATGAAAAACGGTTAAAACGAAATGGAATGGAGAGTGTAATTCTTAAAGATTTAGAAAGTGTAGAAAGTGCTAAGAGAAGTTGGTTTGAAGAGGTATATATTTTAAAAGTACAATTTAATATTGTACAATTACGAAATTAAGCAACTCCACCGGAATTAAGTGCTTAATTTCGGAACTGTACGGTATTTTCTTTCAATTTTGTTAAAGAGAAAAGATAAATTCAAATTTAATTACATTAATAGGCAAAGTCGCACTTAACTATTAGTAATAAATGGGCGGGTATCATTCAATGTTATGGCTTAACTCAAAATCCTTCAAACGGAAATTATATGCTTGTAGTAAGTCAAATGGACATAGATTTAAGAAGTTATTTACTACAAAATCGTAACCTTACATGGAAGGAAAGAATTAAAATTATTGTTGATATAATTGACGCTCTTTTAAGAATTCATAAAGAAAATGCAATCCATAGAGATTTGCATTCAGGAAATATATTACATTTACGAAGTTATAATTGTTGGTATATTAGTGATCTTGGATTTTGTGGACCCGCTGATAAACCATTAGGAAGTATATATGGAAATCTTCCCTATATAGCACCAGAAGTTATAGCTGGTAGAGGATATACCGAAAAATCTGATATTTATAGTGTTGCAATGCTAATGTGGGAAATTTCGTCTGGACAACCACCATTTATTAATTATGAACATAATTATGATCTTGCAATGGATATTGTTGCTGGTAAAAGACCAAAGATTGTGTCAGGAACCCCATTACAATATAAAGAACTAATGGAACGATGTTGGAATGCAAATCCAAAAGAAAGACCTAATATTGATATTCTTTGGAGCGAAATGATGAAGATTAATAAATCATATCATCAAAATAATATTGATCATTCAGATAATTCGCACTTAAGTGTAAATTATAATATAAATTCTATTTCTACGAATCTATCTTGTAGTAAAATTTTTAGTTTTAATAATTTACCCGAGCCAAGAAATGCTACTAAAGGTATAATATTTTATTCATAAAATAATTGTTTTTCTCTAGTAAAATTTATGATATTAATATATGTTTTATGTTTTAAATTACAGATGAACTAGAAGGTACTTCTTTATAAAATTTATAATAATATATTAAATATTAAATGTTGACTAATATAATTTTCTTAATTATTTTAAAAGGATATCATAGTATACAAAATGATTTAGGAATTCCAAATACTAACGGTATATATTATACATATACATGAATTTCGATTAAAATATTTCAAATAACGTTAAAATATATTATTATTATTTTTAGATATTATGTACAATAATAAGATCGAACAGAATGATGGTAAGATATAATTGTTGATATAATAGTAGTTATCAATAAAAGCATGACATTATCTTATTTTTTTTTATTAGAAAATGAACCGGAGGATTCAGCTTTGAAATGAATTAAATGATGAAGGTATTTACTTTTTTCAAATTACTAATAAAGTTGAAAATATTATTAATAAATTTATGACACAATGGTTTATTTCAAAAGATTGGAATTATTGAAGGTAATTAGTTAAAATTTAATCATTTTAACTAATAATAAAGTAACTGTCTCATAATTGTATTGCATAAGTTAATCAATATGGACTTAAAAAGTAATTTAATATGCTTTATTATAATCAACTAACTACAAAAGTAGTATCTTTAATTTTATAATTAATATCAAAAGTAATTAGTATTTTTATTTTTATTATAATTAATTTAACTACAAAAGTAATTATTATTTTAGTTCAAGATATTTTATATTTAAAAATCATTTTATTCATTTTATTGATATATTATACTAATTTTACGCCTACTATAAATAATGATAAATTTTTCCTAATGTAAAATTTATCAATAAGTATTTAAATGTTGAAATCTTAATTCTGACCAAATTTATATTTTATAATTCCGACCAGAATTAACGAAGTCACGTGTAGCCATCGGCACAATAGAGTTTCTTTAACCACTAAGTGAATTATGGGAGATGCTCTTATTGTATGAGATGCTTATAATTACTGAAACAATAGATTTGAAATTTTTATGTGCCATATTATCATACAATAAGAAATAAAATTATAATAAAATATAAAAATATACAATAATGCAAAAAATGTATATAATTGATTACAAAATTATATAAACACCTAGAGTACACTAAAATAAATTTAGTATCCCCTATAACTAAGTTCAATCTATAACTAAAGAAACAAAAAACTAATAAATTTACAGACTAAATTTGTTAAGTCTAAAATCTATTTTTATGTAAAAAAAAAAACGCTACTAAACTAAAAATTTTTTTAAAATTTTTTCTAAGGTTTTCTAATTTTCATATAACGATATTGACTGAATAATAAATCCTATATTATCTACTTTGCATACCTACAAAACAAAAAAAAATTAATAAAAATAAAATCCAAATTAATACATTAAGAATCCAAATCTCTGAATCTAAAGTCTATAAACCCTTTATGAAAATGTCTCCGATAAACAACTTATCTTTGACCAGATCCAAATTTAAATCCAAAGGTCTTGACCTCAATATTAGTTTAATTGATAGGACAAATTTGTTTATTCGCTGTCGGAATCATCTCTTCATCCTTACGTTGTCACTACGCGTTTTTTATTTTCATTAACTTTGTCTTCCTCCACTGTAGTTACAATCTCTTCTGTTGTTATTTCCTCTTTCTTTTTCTCTATTTTATCCAGGCGTTCACTAAATTTGTTATTTAAATCGTCTAGTTCCTCATGTTCTTCTTTGCTTCTTGGTATCGTCGATAAAGAACCAGATAGTGCATTTACAAATTTATCTTTCGATGTTGTGTGTATAGGTACACTAAATTTGGTGAATCCGGTCCTTTTCTTAAACACCCCACCCTTTCCTATTAGTTCATCTTGATCTTTCATTTGTAGTCCTCTTCCAATATCCTCCTCCATTGTGGACTTATAAATTGCCTGCATCAGATCGTTTTCGTTGTTGAAATAAATCAAAATATATTTAATTTTGTTAATTTTGATTATTTTGGCAAAATGTCCACCGTAATTATTTATATATTCTTTATCATTTCAAAATCATTTTTCGCCTGTTCTTTCTCAGCCAACTATATCTCTTTTTAAGTTTCGTTGCGTCTAATTTCACGTCAAACATCCTGAAAAAATAGCTTTCGGTCATTTTTTGTTAGAGCTATATTAGATCTGCCTTTTAGAAAAATTTCTTCCATCTCTTTTGTTAAGCGAATTCTAGCTCTGACTGTCTTGTATTTATAATTCCGTTTGACTTCTAATCTCTCAATATATCCTACTTTTTTCATCATTTCGTAAATAAAACTTTAGATCACGTGATTGCGCGGCAAAATATTTATCCAGATAATCACGGAATTTCATCCTTTTCAACTCTTGTGTTGATGATTTCTTTTTGGATATTTGGCGTCGCTTGTGGCGTTTTCTCTTACTATCCGGTTTACTTGAGTTGGCTGTATTACTTGTTCTTATTTTCTCTTCTAAATCGTCTACTTATTTTTTCTGTAAAATTATTCGTTCCTCTGTTGTTACTTCAATTTGCTTGATTTTTCCTTTAAGCTCCTTGATTTCTTAATTATTCTTCCAATTATTTTATAAAGCGAGCTTCTTGATTGGTTCTTTGTTTACTGTGCTTTTCGAAGAATTCTCATACTCTATATCATTTAATATTTTCTTCAAGTGTTCGCTTCCTAACTTTATAGCAAACAAGACTGCATAGAGTATTGGAATACGCCTATTTGGGCATTTATTATCAACATTGTGCTGCTCAATTCTCCTGGCGGTATTATAGTCCTGCTTCCTAAACGTAACCTTTCATATTCTGCTAAGTCAAACTTTGTAAAGTCTATGTCGTAGTCAATATCGTAAAAGTCCTGTATATGTTCTCCCAAGCTGTCAAACCTTCTGTAATACTTTCGTAAGTAATTTGCTATACTCTTTCCGTTGATAAAACGTTCCTCTCTGATCATATTTGTTGGTATTTTTTAATAAATTTTTCGTAAAAATTTGGTATGGAAGATCATCAGAAAGAGTTCTATTTTACTCTTCTAAGTTTTTCTCCATTTTGTCTTGCAATATTATTCATTCCTTTGCTGTTACTTCCATTTCTTTTATCTTTTCCTTGAGCTCGTTGATTTCTTCCTCTTTTAACTTGATTAAACGTGTCTTATCTTCTACATCTTTCTCTAAAGATAGCTTCTTTTCTTCCTAGTCTTGTGATAATTCTTTGTTGTGTGAAGAAGAAGAAACTATTGGCTCCTTTTGTGCTGTGCCTTCAGAAAAATTCTCACGAAGTATCTCTTCCAATATTTTCTTTAGTATTTTGCTTCCCAACTTTATAGAGAATAAAACTGCCATTAAAACTGACTCTCTCCTATTTGAGCATATATCAGCCAGAATTCCTTTCTTACGTCTTCCTGTACAAAAAAAGTACTTCTCCTAAGTGTATTTCTTCATAATTTACTAGATTAAATTTTTCGTCATCTTCTAGTTTGTCAATATTGTAGAAGTCCATCAAGTGATTGTATTCCATACCCACAAAACATTCAAATATTGTTCTAGGTTGTATTTCATTCTCTTTCCATATGTATAAACTTTGATTTCGGTCATTTTTATTGTAAGTTTATATATTAAATTGTTTTTTTTCCTTCTGATAAAATTTTGTACGAAAGACCCCGTTGTGAAGAACTACATTATTTTGCTTTTAAAAGTAGTATCAATAATATATAGTTATTGTTTTTAATTTACAAAGTAACTACTAAGTATTTGATAATACGTCTACTTATAATCAAAATTAGTTTTACTGCATTAAAATATTAATTATGATATTATTATTGCTCGATTTTGAAATACTTTAGACAATTTTTACTGCTTTTAAATTTTTAAAATACAAAATTATTATTCTTTGATTAATATGGTTATTATTTAAAGATTTTTTCGATGTATCATAGAAATAACAAGCTGAAAGAAAAATCTAATATTACACACTAATTTGATTTTGATTTTCGAATTATGTTTATAAACTAATTTGAAGAAGTACAAATAGGATTAAGATGTTTTTCACTTTATTGTTATCAAAAATCATAATCTTGTACTAAATTATCAGGCAGTCCGATATTCATTCATTAATCGTTATAATTAGTCAGATAATATTGCTTTATAACAGTATGCAAAATTTTACGAACTGACCGCTATATAAATTATTTTGCCAAAATTATATGGTAGATTTTATTGAAAATGAAATTTTTTTGAGGCGCTGTCTTTATTTTCAATTAGATTTTCACAAAAAGTATAAGTTTAAATTTTAAAATTAAGGTAAAAGGATCGTAAGAAATTATTAAAAATGCATTAGGTAACAATTAACGATGTATTGATAAGATTGGTTTAGTGATTTTTTACTTTTTAATGAGTGATTATAATAAAACAATATTAAATTAGTAAAATGATTTTTAATTAAACTATTTTTTGAGTAAATTTTAAGAAAATAAAAATATTATGAGTCAAAATAAATTATAAAATATTAAGAAATGAATAAATAAACACATTAGCTAATATTAACTAAATACAGTAAATATACTTTTATCAATTCCATTTAATATTTTCTTTTTTAACATCTGGATATAGTGTGGGAAAGAAAAAAAATAATGATTGGTGATAAAGAATATCATATACATAAAATAATATAAAAATAAATATTCATAAAAAATAACAAATATAAAAAATTTAACTATGGGTTGAAGTTTCCTGCATACAGTAAAATTTTGATAATTAAGATATAAAAAAAAGATTTATTTAAATTACAAACTAAGTAACTTGTAAATATTTACTACTCTAGTCTTAGTGTTTAAATAATTCTAAATAAAATAAAAAAATAAAGAGAATACAAATATTTAATACTTGCAATTGGAAAAGCTATAAAGAAAAGGAATTATTTAAATTACAAACTAAGTAACTTGTAAATATTTTACTACTCTAGTCTTAGTGTTTAAATAAATTTACAAATAAAATAAAAAACAATTTCTGCTGAATATATCATGTCAAATACCATTTAAAAAAACTATAATTTATAATTAGTTAATTTTATCTTATTTAATATCTAAATAATAATTAAATAAATAAAAAAATTAAACTATAAAATAATTGCAAACTTAAATTTCCTTTTAATACTAGTATATTACATACCTAATTACTCATCTTTAATTATACAATCATCCAAATCTTCAGTCATACCAGTAGAAGAACAGCTTGCATGATAATTTTGTGAATCTTCACTTTCAAGAATTTCATTCAATTCTTTACTAGTAAAATCAAGTAAGCGACTTGTATAACATGTTTGTGGATGAGATTCAGTAGCGAGATTGTTATGCCCAATTGGTGCATTTATAAATTCCATAATGTTGCTTTTTAATTCTTCACTGACTTTATAAGGACGGAAAATCCAATTATCAATAACATCTTTCACTTTTAATGCAGATGGTCTTTTTAATGGATCTTCATTCCAACATTTTTTCATTAAATCTACATAACATTGTGGAGTATTTTCAATAATTTCAGGACGTTCACCTTTACAAATACTTAAACTAAGTTGAAGATCATGTGCTCTATTATTAAATGGTGGTATTCCAGATGTAAACTCCCACATAATCATAGAAAAACTATATATATCACTAGCTGGAGTATAAGATTTGCCTCTTAAAACTTCAGGTGCCATAAACGGAATAACACCATAAATATCATATTTTTTCAAAAACGATTTTATAGGTTGACATAATCCCAAATCACTAATATAAATTTTATCCTTATTCTTTTCATTATGATTTAAAATATTACCATCATGAAAATCACAATGAATAAGATTTTCTCCATGAATTTTACTAAGTCCAGAAATAATTTCGTACAACATAAATAGTTTTTGATTCCAATTATTTTCGACTATTGTTGTTAAATTTTCTCTTAAGTTACCTTTATTCGCATATTCCATTACTACCATAAATTTTGAAGTATTTGGATCTTCTGTAAATCCATAAAAATTTATAATATCATTTGAATCTAAAACACTTGTATGATATTCCCACTATAAAAAGTAATAATAGTTTATTAATATAAATAAATTTTAATTTAAATTAAGAAATAGAAAATAATATATCATACTTCTTTTAAAAATTCATTTAAGTTTTCATTTAAATTCTTGTGACATTTAAGAATTACTTCTTCGTCTCTATCATACTTTAACCAAGTAGCTTTATATATAGTACCAAATCCTCCTTCATTAAGATATTCAATATTTTTAAATCTATTATAAGGAATCCATTTTAAATTTTTTTTAAAAATAAAATCATCCATAATTTCATTTCCACTTTTCTCAAATCTATAAATTTAAATAATTAAAATTATATTATAGATTGTATTATAATTACACTAAAATAAATTATTTACTTACACTAAAATTTAAATAGGAATTTAATGTAGTATAATTCTTAGTTTTTGGACAAATACATATACAGTAATAACCTATAATTTACAACTTACCTACAAAAGTAACAGATATTTTTTAAATGAAAGAATTCAGTTAACAAATAAATATTATATAAAATATATAACAATAGAGATACTTACAAGCTAGATCATAAATAATTTTTTAAATAAAGAAATTAGATAGTTAAATTATATGTAAATATTATAACAATAAGTAATAATAGAATTAAATAAATAAATTACTATCTATAAAATAATTTTTTAAATAAAGAAATTAGATAGTTTAAATTATGTGTAAATATTATAACAATAAGTAATAATAGAATTAAATAAATAACTTACTCCCTATATTATTTAATAATTTTTTAAATAAAGAAATTAGATAGTTTAAATTATATGTAAATATTATAACAATAAGTAATAATAGAATTAAATAAATAACTTACTCCCTATATTATTTAATAATTTTTTAAATAAAGAAATTAGATAGTTTAAATTATATGTAAATATTATAACAATAAGTAATAATAGAATTAAATAAATAACTTACAACCTATATTATTTAATAATTTTTTAAATAAAGAAATTAGATAGTTTAAATTATATGTAAATATTATAACAATAAGTAATAATAGAATTAAATAAATAACTTACACCCTATATTATTTAATAATTTTTTAAATAAAGAAATTAGATAGTTTAAATTATATGTAAATATTATAACAATAAGTAATAATAGAATTAAATAAATAACTTACACCCTATATTATTTAATAATTTTTTAAATAAAGAAATTAGATAGTTTAAATTATATGTAAATATTATAACAATAAGTAATAATAGAATTAAATAAATAACTTACACCCTATATTATTTAATAATTTTTTAAATAAAGAAATTAGATAGTTTAAATTATATGTAAATATTATAACAATAAGTAATAATAGAATTAAATAAATAACTTACAACCTATATTATTTAATAATTTTTTAAATAAAGAAATTAGATAGTTTAAATTATATGTAAATATTATAACAATAAGTAATAATAGAATTAAATAAATAACTTACAACCTATATTATTTAATAATTTTTTAAATAAAGAAATTAGATAGTTTAAATTATATGTAAATATTATAACAATAAGTAATAATAGAATTAAATAAATAACTTACAACCTATATTATTTAATAATTTTTTAAATAAAGAAATTAGATAGTTTAAATTATATGTAAATATTATAACAATAAGTAATAATAGAATTAAATAAATAACTTACTCCCTATATTATTTAATAATTTTTTAAATAAAGAAATTAGATAGTTTAAATTATATGTAAATATTATAACAATAAGTAATAATAGAATTAAATAAATAACTTACAACCTATATTATTTAATAATTTTTTAAATAAAGAAATTAGATAGTTTAAATTATATGTAAATATTATAACAATAAGTAATAATAGAATTAAATAAATAACTTACAACCTATATTATTTAATAATTTTTTAAATAAAGAAATTAGATAGTTTAAATTATATGTAAATATTATAACAATAAGTAATAATAGAATTAAATAAATAACTTACAACCTATATTATTTAAATAAAAAAATTATATAGTTTAAATTATATGTAAATATTATAACAATAAGTAATAATAGAATTAAATAAATAACTTACAACCTATATTATTTAATAATTTTTTAAATAAAGAAATTAGATAGTTTAAATTATATGTAAATATTATAACAATAAGTAATAATAGAATTAAATAAATAACTTACAACCTATATTATTTAATAATTTTTTAAATAAAGAAATTAGATAGTTTAAATTATATGTAAATATTATAACAATAAGTAATAATAGAATTAAATAAATAACTTACAACCTATATTATTTAATAATTTTTTAAATAAAGAAATTAGATAGTTTAAATTATATGTAAGTATTATAACAATAAGTAATAATAGAATTAAATAAATAACTTACACCCTATATTATTTAATAATTTTTTAAATAAAGAAATTAGATAGTTTAAATTATATGTAAATATTATAACAATAAGTAATAATAGAATTAAATAAATAACTTACACCCTATATTATTTAATAATTTTTTAAATAAAGAAATTAGATAGTTTAAATTATATGTAAATATTATAACAATAAGTAATAATAGAATTAAATAAATAACTTACAACCTATTAAATAAAGAAATTAGATAGTTTAAATTATATGTAAATATTATAACAATAAGTAATAATAGAATTAAATAAATAACTTACTCCCTATATTATTTAATAATTTTTTAAATAAAGTAATTAGTTAGTTTAAATTATATAAATAATATAAATATAGATGTCATATAACTTACACCCTGTAGTATTATTAATTATTAATTAGTTAGACATAAAGATAATATAAAAGTATTTACTATAAATTATATATATTACTTACAATCTAATTATTTAATTAAGAATATAGTTAGTTGAATTATGTAATATTGAACAAATATATATAATATATATATTTGACTTACCATCTGTAATATAATTAATTATTTAAACAAAGAATTTAGTTATTTGAATATTTTATAAAATAAGTAAAGTAAAGAACTAAAGATTTGAATAACTGATAACTTACTGACTATAGTATTATTAAGCATTAAATGAATTATTTAGTTACATGAAATATAATTAAAATAATAAGTAATCCCATAGTTATTCAATTATAAGATAACTTATTAACTTACGAGCTAAATTATTTAATATAATTTCCATTTGTATAATGTAGATAGTTTAAGTTATATTTGTATATTATATAAGATAGATAGTAATATTTAAGTTCATTTACAAATAAAAATTTAATACTTCAGTTTGTTTAATATACCTTTAGACTCCTCAGTGCTACTTTCTTCAAATTCCTCAGAGCCATTTCCTTCGAATTCCTCAGAGCCACTTTCCTCAAATTCTTTAGTGTTACTCCCTTCAAATTCTTTAATACTACTGGAATCTAGTTTTATTATATTGCAAATTTATTTAAAAATTTTAGAAATTCTGATTATATTAATTATTTATGCTATATATATGGTTATTACCTTTATTATTACTGTGAGCCATTATTATATAATTATATTAAAATTCTCTAACTGTAAAAGATAACGTTAACATAATATTATTAAAACGCCTTTATTAGTATATGCAAAATGCATTATGTTGATCATCACAAGTGCAAGCATTTGCATGTATGACAAACAAATTTTGTACATCCGGAATATCAAACCTTATTGTTATACAGTGTAACGATTTTAAATTGCTCACACAGAGACTTTTCTATAAAATTATTTACATAAAACTATTTACAAAATCCTCGTTTCATAATACTTTAACTGTTTTCATATCATTATTTACAAGATTCGTTCTTAAAACCTCTTTCTAACTTGATTGGTCACGCTCTATTAAGATAATCAATTGCTACCACACATATTAGTTTCATATGTGCGCAATAATAATTTTTCATTGACATTTCAGCTGGTGCTCAAATTAAAATAATGACTATTTTTCTTTTCTTAGAAATACATTACCGGTAATTTCTTTTTAATGATCATATGAGGATGACCATTTTTCTATTCTCGGAGCATGCACCACTTGTAACGATCTAAGCCCTTGATAAATCACGTTGTCACCTTAGATGTTAACAAAATAATCCTTTATTAATAAAAATATGCTTGGTTTAATTAAAATACATTATTTCTCCTAAATTCCAAATTGCGATAATTTCCCTTCATATTAAAAATCTCTTTCTATCATTAATCCGATTAATGTGGCACTTTTTCATCATAAGAAAAAGGCAAAAAGAATCGAATATTAACTATTCTAAAGGTAAAATATATTTTCATATCATTTTTCTAAAAATTTCTGTTTTTCAAAATTATTTTTTTTTTTTTTAACTTGGTTTAATTCATATCCTTTTTATAATATTTTGTCATTTCATATTCCTAAAATGATCAATTTGATATCACCAATCAAATAATCTACAAGATAAATTGTGACTCTGTCAGCCCAGACCGCAGTTTACTCCTTTAGGTTAATAACTTATATGATCTTCAAATCAATTATTCCATTGGTTGATAGTTAACGTCATTCGGTCATTCCAGACTACACATTTTAAAATATATACACTAATTATAAATATAATACTGCGCCTCATGATTAATAAATTCACTAGGTATATTACGGCATTACAACAGTAAAATCATGAAACAGGAAATTTTGATTTTTTTCGTTAAAATCAATTTGGAAATAATCAGTTACATCTAAGATAAGTTTGTCAAATGAAATCAAATGTATCACTGCTGATCAAATAAATTATAACACTTCGAGACTTTAAAAAAAAATAATTTAATGATTCCTTTTCTTAGTAAATTATAATTTTATATATTAATTTTTCACACTCCTTTAGCGGTTCACATTTTCTTATAACTTTTATTAGTTAAAATAATATATTTCATGTTAATAAGATAATAAATTTTTATAAAAAGTCTTTATATTGGACATCAAGATTTACATATATTTATTTTCTAGTTTCAATAGTTATTATCCTTTTTCATGATTATAATTTCATTAAATTATAATAGTTTTATAATGTTAAATATATAAAGATTCTCTATATGAGATTATACATGTTGATTGGTTACATATCACATGATTGGTATTGTCTAAATTCTTAATAAATTGTTCTTTTAGTTTTAATTGGTAACTTACTTATGCTTATGACATTCAATAACTAATTCTGTGCTTATATCTCGACCAACTTGATTGATCAAAAAATAAATAAATAATAATAATTTCTTTTGAAACTTTTTTTTTTAAAAAAATCATTGAATTAAATTTACTTGCTTTCTACCCTGGATACGTGTCTAATAATACAATTATTACATGATTGGTCACTACGCCTTATGAGTTACGACATTTCCATTTCCAATTTTTTTTTGATTTTTTTTTAATTTACATAAATTAAATATGATCATGATAAAATTAAAATGAACGACTTCTTTGGATTTTGGTCTCTTTCTCTTGTTGAAAAATCTTATCTGTTATCATTATTATTATAATTAATGTACAATAAGACAATAATATTCAATGTAATGTTCTCAATAAGTTACTTCTTCATATCCGATTAATTTAAGAATTATTCACTTTGATGATAATAGAAATATATATACCATTTGCTATATCTGACATCATTAAACTTTTGCAGATTAAAGACTACCTTCGAAAAAAAAATTTTTTTTGAGAACTACTTATTTTTTTTTTTATTTTATATGAGCAATCAATCAAATAATTCAACATACTAAAAAAAGAATTAAAACAACGAAAATTCAATTAATATTAGAAAGAAAAATAAAGTTTACTGCAAAAGTAAAATGTAGTAGAATGATTTTTGAATGAAGGCAGGTTGTTTTGCGTAATCAATGATAATCTTATATTTATCAAATAATTGTGAGAATAAAGATCAATGTTACGGAATTATTGACAACGCTATTTGCAAAAAAAAAATTAAAAAGTGAATGATTATTTTTATTGAGAGATCACGTGCAATAAATATCATGAGTAATGGTGATAGGATGTGCTATAGTATAATTATTAAGTTTGTTTATTTTTTTAGAAAATTGTCTATTACATTTTCCATCAGCGTTAGATACTGTATGACATAAATTATTACAAATTTTGGAAAATTACGTTGTTTATTTAACATCATATTTTAATTTTTATACAGAAAATTAAATTTTTATTATGAATAATCTAAATATTGGTGATATTTACATTAAATAATTTGAATTGTGTAACATAGAAATGCATGATATGTCTGCGCCTGATCTATTCAGTTAAAACAAACAAATAAATAAAAGATTAACGAATATTATTTTTCCTACATGAGATTTTTTTTTTTAAGTAAACTTACAACATCTATTTCATTTTTTTCTATTCCTGACGCTTTTCCTTCCTTTGTTTTCCATTCCTGGCGCCTTCCTTTCATTTTCCTTCATTCCTGATACTTTTCCTTCCTTTGTTTTTCGTTCCTAGCACCTCCCTTTCATTTTTCTTCGTCCCTGATGCTTTTTTTTTCTTTATTTTCTGTTTCTGACGCTTCCCTAGTTCTTTTCTTTCATTGTATTTTTTTTGTTTCTAACACTTCCCTTTTGTTGATTTTCATTCTTGATGACCTTTCTTTCATTTTTTCTCTCCTAACATTTTTCTTTTATTTTTTGTTTCTGACGGTCTCTTATTTGTTTTTTTTTTAATTTTTACCTTGTTTTCACTCATGATACTTTCCTTTTATTGTTCCTTACTATCTTAATCATATTCTATAAAAATATTCAATAAATACCTTTTAAAATCCATTAGAAATAAAAAATCTGCATCAAAAAATTGTAAAAAAATTTTTATGTAAATCAGTAATGTTAGTAAAAAAAATTCTTAATCACAATGATAATAATAAAATATTATTATTTGTTTTATTTTATTTATTTTAATAAAAGAAGCGTAATTACAGTGAATATAATGAAAATTGCTAAGTAATAAAGATTTTGAATCATATCACATAATTATTACATAATAAGTGATAAACTGTACGGTATAGCACTTATTAAGTACTATGTATGTCCTATTTAGATTACCCCGTATAAATAATTTGACTTGTGTAACATTAAAAGTGTAATATTCTTATGTCTAATATATTTCGAGAAAAATCTTTAAAACTAATATTTTTTTTATTCTAATGGATTAATACTAACAAAAAAAAAAAATATTCTTTTTTGGTTTGGGTCAAGACTTTTTCGTTATTTAGTGACATTTTTTTTTCATCAATAATATTATTTCCGACTAATAAAACCGAATTATTGTCCTTTTTTTCAGAATTTTTTTCGGTACTTACTTTTTTTCAGTTTTCAGAAATTTCCCTTTTTTTTGAACTGATTTCTTTCTTTATCCTTTTTTATTTCCCCAAATTTTGGTTTTCTTTTTCTTTCAATTTTTCTTATTATTAAATAAAGAAATAAAATATTATATTAAATAATTATATTTACAAATCAATATAACGTGTAGGAAAATTGACCGACATCATTGATAGAAAGATGATTAAGATTTTCAATTAAATTGAACACTGGATAAATAGTTTGAATTTTAAATTCATGAAAATCAAAAAGAAATTATTAATTAATTGAAGAGATTGTTGATTTAATAATAGACTATTATAACCAAATCCGTATCCAAAATTCTCTAAATAATCACCAGATTTTGTTGAATAAATTTTAATTCAAATGGTTTAGTTAAATTAATAATTTATTGAATAAAATGAGTATCAAAAGAAGAATAATAATAAATGAAATAAACAGATTCTAATACATTTAATTGTTCAAATATTTTTCCTAAGTTGATTATAAGTTTTAAAATTAACATAATATAAAATAATAAGAATAATTATAAAATTTATAATTAATTAATAAAAATATTTGTAATATTTTCATAATATTAAAATTTTTTCGAAAATACTTCTAAAAATTAATCAATTTTTATTGATAATTATTTTTTCACAATTCCTTAATTAATCCAAATTTCATTCTACACTCATTAATATATATAAATAACTACATTGCTGTAAATATAATTTATATCATTCTAATATTATAAATATGATTTAATATAGAAAATTTCTTAATTTACACGGGGTGTTCATACACGTATCACGTGACTTTATTAAAAAGTTATGTAAAAAAATTTTTTTAATAAATATAATTTTAAAAGGAACATGCAGTATGTGTATTTTTGTCTGTTCTGCAAGTTTACTTAAAGCGTCAAAGTTGATTTTGAATGCCAATTTTGATTATTTAACAAATTCTTTTTTTTCCCTGTTTTCGTTAAATTTAATTCTGCCCAACATTAAATGATCAGCATAGGAAATTTACTTTTTTGGAAACCCGTGTTTGAACACCCCGTGTACAAATAGAAATCGCCTAATTTATTGTTTTTTATTAACTAGTGTATGTGAGTTTTAATGCTGAAAATAAAATTTATGCTAAAGATTAGAGGTTGATTGAACAATAATATTAATAATCTTACTCATCATACAGTAAAAAAAAAAAAAAAAAATTAAAATTTTTTTACTCATATCAGTCATATGTTTAGTATAGGAAAGTGGTATTTATTAATTCAA